GTAGCCACCGTGATCACCACCATTCGTCTCGACCTAGAGACGAAAAAGCCAGCGGCGAACATCTTCGTCACCGCAAAGAAAGTAACGTCTCAGTGAAATCCACCTCCGACCGTTCGTCTGCCCCGGTGCCTAAGATGCAGGATAGCGGTTATTCGCTTGACAGCTCGCGCAGCTTTTCAAACCGAAAAAGTCGGACCCCTGAAGAGCAGGCTGCCCATGACAAACGTAAAGAAGAGAAGCGCGCCTCCCGCGAGGCCCGCGAGGTCCGCGAAAAAGCAAGAGAAACCAAAGGAAAGGACCCCGAGGCTCCACCTAGTGATCGACATTCCTCTCATCGTAGCTCAAGGAGACATAGTGTCTCTTACTCTGATAAGGCTCACTCTATGAAGCACTCTGAGAGGTCTTATTCCGAAAGACAATCCGAGAGACAATCCGAAAAACAATTCGAAAAACAACCCGAAAAGTCCCATTCCGAAAGACACTCGGAAAAGCCTCGGTCGGAGAAGGCTCCCTCGGAGAAGGCCCATTCCGAAAAATCTCATTCCGAAAGACATTCCGAAAGGCACTCAGAACGACATTCCGAAAGGCACTCGGAAAGATCTCGGTCTGAAAGACACTCTATGAAGGAGGAAGGCTCGTCTCCAAGCAAGAAGTTCTTCGATGTAAAGAATGTCGAGAGCGCATTAGCATCGAGTCATGCGCCCCGCTCGGGAACCACCAGTACCAATAACACATCCTCATACACTAAGGACGCTCCGAAATCAACGACGTTGAAGCGTTCCAGCACTACTAAATCCTATCACGAGTCCGAGGATGCCCCCCGACCTAGGAGCCACAGATCTCACGACGACTCCAAGAGACGCAGAACAGAGACGAAGAATGGAGACGAGGCGCAACCTTCCGGTTCTAAGGTTTCGGTTCCGAAGGATGAACACAGGAGCTCGAGAAGAGAGGAGAGACAAAAAGCTCGGGAGGCCGAGGCCGAGGCTGCTAAGCAGCCTTCCCAAGGAAAAATCCGTGCCGCCTTCAAGAAGTTATTCAAGTAATGATGGCCAGGAAGGAATACCATTGGGATGACTAACGAAATCATGTTGTAATTCATATGTCTGGATGAAGTTATGGTGAGATCTTGTCGCATTTCGACATGATGTCTTTTTTTCCATCATTTTTATTGTTACGATATGTACGAGATCATGTGTATTGGACTACGGGATTTTCTATTAAAATATTGCTCAGGCATATGGACTTCAAGGAAATCATGTACACAAAGGGGTTTCTTTCCAGCGCGTCAAATATCAATGGATTTCTTATTGGATATGCTTTAGGGATATCTTGTTCATACCTTCACCACTTACGATACCAATACATGTATATGTTGACCTACTTTTCCTCGCAGGCACTGACATCAGGCCTGTGGAATAATTCTCGTAAACTTGCTACCGCTGTATGAACTTACGACCATACTCAAGTTTAAACCATTGCTTGTAGCAACAAGTTCCTCCGCTGTAGACATCCAAGTAGGTAGGTATTACTCATGAGCTAGCTATGGTGGAATGTTGGATATTCGTCCTACTTCTTTCTTGCCCCTTTTAGGCTATCTGCCTAAATATCTTAAGGTCCATCAGGTCATTTAGGAGCCACAAGCAAAAGTCCCTCTTGAACCAGGTCGCAAGATCGAGAAGCGCGCAAATACCAATTGAACGTAGCATTAAGACTAGTTCCATACTGATTTTTACGTATCTGTCCCTAAGTCGCCGACTACATGGACGAGGCTGTAATCGTACGATTCCGCGTTCACATAAAAGGAGGACAAATTGGAAGGCACTTGTCAGAACCTGTTATATGGTAGCTTTTCGATCGCCTCGCTTTACCACCTGTTACTAGTAAGTAGCCATACACTAGCGCCGCAAATTAGGAAATATATGTCGTAAAGAGAAGAGAACGAGCGAATGATGGTACTGTATATGCACATTACCGGAAATGGCCACTGTGCAGTACCCCTGACCCCTGAATTCCCCCGAATGCCCTAAGGGTTAGTAGACGCCGGACGTTTTGACGAGCAGACCGTACATATGCCAATGCACTATGATTCACATGGTGCAGACGCGTCGACACTAAATATGTTGGCCAATCGGCATTGTTATTGTCGACGACTAACTTGGACTAACATGGGTTGTCTTTAGTGTACCGTTCGCCAAGCTGTTGACGCGAGACTAGTAACTATAGCGTCTATTACCTTCAAGACTAAATTCTCGAATGGGTATGGGGGACACGTGTGGCCGAAATCGAGATTCATATTGTAATGAATCCTGTCTTAACTGGACTTTTAAGCAGATACGTTCAGGGGACGGTAAATTATTGATGATGGGGAAAGACAACTAGGTAGCTGTCTTCATTGACTATTGAGCTTTCTAAGGCTAGGTTGGATAAAAGTACCTCGATATTGCTCCTATAATCCTAACATAACGTTATAGTAAAGCTCCTTGATACATATGATCGTATCGTTTCCTGTCTTCATTTCTTCGAGATATACACATACCAGGTAGACAAGGGTATACTCATCACATGCTCAGGAGAAGCTCACTATTTACAACCTACATAATTACGGTATATCAGCTATGTAACATAATAGGTAAGAACCTACCTACCAATACCTTGTAGTCAAGTTAGAACCGGGTAATTCCATCAAGTGTGGATCTTGACAAGCCATTCCTCTCGGTACATTTTGCGGCTACAACTTTCCCGAGTTAGTGGTAGGGCTGTCGCGAAGATACCTAGTTACCTATCTTGGTAAGCAAGTACTTGCAAATATTGAAGCTATACCTATCTACCTACCTCCTATATTTCGCTAAAGGTTACCTACCTAGGTACTTGATGAATATTTTGCCCTTTCGGTACATATAATATTCCCCTCTCTGGAACATGGCTACTATTTGAGAGACGTCATGCGGATATATGTCCGAAGCTAGGTAGTCTAATTTCAACCTCAGCTCCTTATGCGGACTTCAGACGCCAAGGATACTTCTTATGCCGGTCCGAGACCTATAAAAACATACAAGGCCTATTAAACTGCAGCCTTACTTTTTAGAAGTAGGATAATGCTGGTGGATCGCAATAGAGGTTCAAGAAAATCGAAAGATATGTACGTCATCCCGTGTCGTCCCCTAGGAGTATTATGTGTCGATAGGGCTTAGTATAAACGCAGATATTCTCAAGTACCAGTACATACTCCTTCCTTACAGCTTCTCTCAGTACTCTTAACACTAGGCTAGGGTGATAGCAAGGTGTACAGCTAGACTGTAGTTTCAAAAACGCTTACTTTCCAGCTACCATGAACCTAGCATTGTCTAATACTTAGAATTGCCGCAGTTACCGCGACAAACATAGAGTACGCTAAGTCTATATAATAAGCTAGCAGATATGTCAGGAGGTTAACTAGTGTAATAAGTGGTGTGTAAGTATGTGCGTATTCGACGCTATTCTGTCCGCTCCTCGCGAACTAGAGTATTATATTCCGTGGGGTTGGAGAGCGAGGCTGAAAAACAGACTCCCTTGTTACCCCTGTTGAGTTGCTCCCCAGATATCTAGGTAGGTACCTACCTGATACATTCTGGAGCTAGGTTAGGGCCATATGTACAATACGCAAATGCTAGAAACGGCCGGCTAAAGCCCCTCATCAGAGCGTCATGTGGAAGTAAACTTGATGACAGTGTTAACTACCTCTTGAGTAGGTAGTCGTCATCTTCGGAGCGTGACCGGCGTCGAGCTCTACCGTCTGGACCGTCTTTCCCTCCAACTTCATAGATCGTTCCGCCGTTGGCGATTAAGAGTAGACCTCAATATAGTTGCCATCAGAGAGGTTGATCAAGGGGTACAGGTAGAGGAGAGATCGAGAAGGCCTCTCAGAGGAACGTTAAACTATAAGAGAGCCAATAATCGCATTCCAGGGTGAAAGATCCTCTTATTGTGACTCTAATCGATAGAATTAATCAATACTGAAGACATATTTTGATATTCCTAACAAATAAGTTAGTCTATTGAAGACTCGCCAACCAATCATAGTTTGAGTTGCTACGAATTTAACGGCAGGAGTCCGGGTCCTTAACAGACCGTGAGAACTACCTAGCCGTTTACTGACTCGAAGTCTAGCGACGTTAATGACCTGCTAAATATACATCGTTATACTGTGCATTATCGTGTTAAGTTTTAGGGACTGATAAGTACCTATAATCTCTTCTATTCCATTATAATTTCCTTCATGGAAGTGTATCAAACCGTCAGCCTATTACCGCGACCTGCCACCGCCACTAATCGGAAAAGGGAATAGCAACGGACCTAGCCGAAAGCAGGCTAGACTATCGTCAGGGGGTACAGAAAGTCTCGACAGTAAACAGCAACAAGGAATCAACTGTGAAGTACTCCCTAGATCGGACGCATATACCTACGCCGCGGTCATACTTGCATCACCGTCTCTCACACGGGCCAACTCTCTTGTAGGATATTCTACATTCCACGGGTAGATTAGCGATACGGCGTTCTCTACCAAGACGATCCCGAATCCCAGCTACCCAACCCTCTTCGCAGGTCATCTTGTGGTGTAGGCGTGCACACAGGACGCAGAGTGAACTGGCTTCAGTCCCGCTATCTATGTGGGGATTGGAACTCGTGAGCGTGCCGACGGCAATGAGAGGAGTTAGAGGACTGGAGATCTGCAGGAGCAGCGGTGAGTTCGTATTGGGTCTTAGATATAAACCGTCGACAAAAGCCGACAATGAAGCCGATATAAGTCCTTAGGGGGGCGAAGACCCATTCCCCCTACAAGCCAGGTTGCCATTCATGAGGCCACAAGGGACGTACCTCGAACTCTAAGCGAATTAGCCATCTAGCCCATTGCCCAACTTTATGTGTTCCTTGGGTATTATCGCAGAAAATTGCCGAGTACCAGGAATATACGTATATTATGCCGTGATCCTTCGTCTTTCTCTCGTTTAGTATTGGTCTTAGGTAAAGGTGATCTTCTTCCCCACTAGACCCTTGAAGATGTCATCAAGTGCTTTCCGCTTCTTAGCCTTACCCTCACTAACAGCATCTAAGGAATCATCCTCATCTTCTTCGTCATCTCCCTCGAGACGGGGCGTCCATGCCCTGATTTGGCCGTCGAGGTGCGCTGTGTAGATAGCACCTGCCATGTTACTGCCTCCCATCACAACACCGCTTGAGCCACCTCCACCCCCCGCTCCCCTCCACACTATGCTAGAAATTCGATTCTTAACAGTCCGCTGAGTGCCACCCGTGGATCGGACGCCAGCCATGGCAGGACCGGTCCCTCTCAGCTTCGAGACCACGTGGCCATCATGCAAGTCCAAAACGAGTATCTCCGTCTCGTTAGGCCAAAAGAGTAGCTCTTTACCAGGATGGGTCAGGCCGACTGGCGATGTGAACATAGTGACACCTGCAAGTTGGCTATTCCTGATACTAGGACCGAAGCTTGCAAGAGTATTCCTACCCGTCGCAGCATCCCAAACACGAATGCGTCGGTCGTGACCTGCTGAAATAATGTATCCCCCGTCGTCTGTCCAGGCCAGTCCATTCACAGGGGCCGCATGGGCCTTCGCCGAGGCTCGAACTCTAACTTTTCCATTGGCGTCTAGAAGGCCATTATAGTAAAGGCCTAGACTGTCTTCCTGATCTAACATACCAATAACCCCACCAGCTTGTCGGATATCCCAGATCTTGACAACCCCGTTTACACTACCCGTAGCGAGGACATGTTCGTGTCGCGGAGACCATGACGTGGCCAGTATAGCACCTGAATTACCAGCTAGCGACTGGACATTAGAACCAGTACGCAGATCCACTAAACGCACAGCAGGGTGCTGCGTCCCACATGCAACTAATAAGTGTGAGGCGATAGGGGATATTGCGTGGGTGTACGCTTTATAGCCAAGATTAAATGAGGCTGACAAGCTAGCTGTTTCGGTCGACCAAACTTTTAAGGTCTGATCATACGATGTTGACAGAAAGGCGGCCGAGTCGAAAGGGTAGAAGGAGAGGTGCGTAATTCCAAACTTGTGGGCTTGGTTAGAACGTGGGATTTTGGCGGCGGGAGTGTAGGTATGCGCCTTGGATGGATTGTCACACTGCTCTAGGTCCCACAGCTTTATCGAGGCATCCAATCCACCCGATACGAGGCTGAAGCTGTTAGCTTAGATAGACTATATCACACCTAAAAGAATATTGGAAATATTTCACTAGATGTTTTGCGATATATGTCGTCTGATGCTTGCTTACATTCTACCGTCGAAGCGCTCAAGGGCTAGAGCATTTACACCGGTCTGATGGGCCCACGTAGTAGAATCGGGGTCTGGAGCTATTGCGCCTTTCCCATCATCTCGTATGGCAATACCCTTCTCGCCGCCATCAAAGCGGAACTCAGGCGCAGGGCGGAACGAGTTCAATAACTTCGTAGTCTGTAGCCTGGCGAAGACATTAGGGCCAATATTGCCACAAGATCGCTCAAACAGCAATTGATTCATTCATCAGAATGAAAGGCCGGGTCTGGCCTATTCTGCTTTAATAGAAGCAGTGATGAATGAGTGATAATGAAATGAGAAGACAGTATGCTGTAAAATGTTGAGAAGGAGAGAATGTCGTTGTATTGAGTTCAAGAGCCGCATTCGAATGCTCAGGTTCCAAGTTCCAAAGTTCCGAATCTGGTGGGGAGATTTGACGGAAGTATTACGTAGTTCTCCAGGTACGTCGCACTATGGAGACCCCACCAAAACTTAAATCCCGAGGTACGAAATACATCCTCATTCATTCAATATTCATCGGCGCATCTTTGAATTTGACATTTTTAACTTCATAATCATAAACAACTGCCAACAGTAAACAAAATATCTATATGAATATCTAGATGCACACGGCTTCTTTTATAAGTCAGTGAACATCAGAAACCCGGTACCTCAATATAGTCGACGTTCGAGTGAGCGAAAGATGAAAATTGATGAGAATGCGATGTTTGGATCCGCATTGTCTAAAGGCTGAGAAGAATTCAAACATCATCAAACAAAGCACACAGTCTATACCTACCTAGGAATCTAACCATGACATCTCAAAATATCAAAGAAAAACGCTTCACATACCCCGTAGAAGAGACAGATAACGCTACCTCGACCGGAACCGAAGGCGATCTTCTAGACGGCGGGAGACGAAAGCGTAGAAAGCGAGACGCCAACGTCTACGACGCCGTAGCAGGTCCGCCATTCCCACCACCACACCAACAACCTGCTTAGTAAAATACTAATCAACTCACCCAATAGCCCGGGTAACCAGCAACCTCCCCTTAGACAACGGCCCCGGAACCTCAACGCAAACGCACCACATCCGAACCCCACGCGACCACATCCGGGACTCGACGCTCGCACCAGAAGAGGTGCTCTTCCGGCGCATCGGCGCGCCCGTCCGCTTCGCCGAAAAGGACATCTACCACGCGCACTCGGCGCTGCGCGACGGCGGCAGAGACGTGCTACCGGACAGCGATATGCTGAAGGCGCTCCACAGCTACGCGAGTCACTTCTACGCCGCGCTCGCCTCGCCCCAGGGGGGCTCGCGAGGCGAATTTGCCGCCCAAAATATCGACGAGCAGAGCTTGGACGAAACCGCGCTCCTGGCGCTCGGGATCCTGGTCGAGGAGGCGGGGCGCGAGATCCTGGGGCGGAATGGCGATTTGGTTTTTACTGAGGGTGTGGAAGTGGGAGAGGATGGGGAGCTAAGGGGGTGAGTGATGGGTTTGGGTTTGGGTTTGGGGGTTCGATTCGCGAGGCGATGGTGGTGGACCTGGGATTTGTTTGTTTGTTGATGATGCTGGTTGCAGAGTCGTAATCTTAACACGGGCGTATTATGTAGGTGTGTAAGCTGAGAGCGACAGAGTTGCAACAGCCGACCCGAGGCGCAGACGTTCAGGCAAACTGGAACCTGGGATTGGAACAGAAAATTGATGTGATAGGAGCTGGAGTGCCGAACCCGATCGCTTCGCCCGCGAAGGGAAAGTTTAGGCGCGGATTAAATCTGATAATCAGGGCCTCCATATTTTTGATAACTTGAGGCTAATCGCTAATGTGATGGCTTTCTGGACATCCTGCCGGAGTCTGCTTTCCTATCCCCAGATCCCGAATGTACAATACTTACCGTACATACATACCTGGAGTCTACTCCGTAGGATGCCAATGCGTTCAGCCAGTAACTAATACCAGGTAAGCAGCTAAGCCACCGCCCAAAGTACCACTTAAAAGCAGAAAGGTTCAGGGGCTTTTGGGCTTGCATAGTCTGCATAGCAGGTAGGCTTTCTAAGCTAGATCTTTGGGACGATCTTCATTGCCGCTTTGGAAACTGACGCGAGATTGGGCAAGGCTGTCGCAACTACGCAACTAGGTACTGAAGATTTCAGGACTACTACCGACAGCTTCCTGTACGTAACGCAACGCAATAGCAAACCTCTGTTACTCTGCAAACCTTCCCCTTGCCTGCCGGAAGAGCATTATTACTTTGGTTCGTTTAGTCAGTCAATCAGTTAGTTCAGTTAGTCAGTCAGTCAGTCATGCGCTTCCATGTTGCCGGTGCCTTTGCGTTTGCATTTGCAGAATGCATCATTTTCGCATTTCGCATTTCGCGTCTGCGGTCTGCGTGCTTCTGCCTACTCTCATTCTCCCATTCTGTCCCTTTCTCTCGCGTAATCGTAAACCAAGAAAAGAAAAAAGCAGAGGCAGAGGCCGTTCCTGCGACCCGCGACGCAAGCTTGTAGTAGGTCATACCGCGCGCCCACTACCGCCCTTCACCCGTCCAAAGCCATGCGTTGGGTCAAAACGAAAAGTTTCTCGTACTGTGAGTGGCCCGCATAGCGACGCGCACCGAAATGGAAAAAAAGGGAAAAAAGCAATGGCACGAAAAAGAGATAGGTCATATTTTGTAGACTGAAGAGACCCGCGCTCTCCGAATTAGCTTGTAACTTCGTAAGGCAATTTTGCAGATCTCTTTTTCTTTCTCTCTCTCTCCCCCAGGTATGGATGTACTATTATGTATGAGTGCGTTCCTTTCCCACCCCCAGACCAAAAAGGCGGTTGGGTGTCGCTCGGACAAAGAACGGCTGCGCGAGAGGAGTGGTCGTTGCTTAGCACGACCCTATCTCCGAACTTCTTCGCCATGTACGTCGCATCCTTCCCTCCCACTTGGGAATGCGGGCTCGGCGGGTCTCAAATCTCGACGAACCCTGGGATTGGAATCGATTAAATCATGCCACAATCCTATTACGAAGTCATGACAGATGGTGGAAAGGAGCGGAGTAGAAAGAAAAGAAAGGGAAAAGCTTGGTTGAACCTGGTAAATAGCTTTGCACTGGACTGGAAGGTAGGTAATAAGAGAACACACCGCAAATGTGTTTTGGTTTCCTATTCTTGTTGTTGTTCGCTTCTTCTCCTGCAACCTGCGACCTGCGACAGGAATGCCCCATCACGACCCCTCGCTTCTGAGCTTTGCATGCACTCGACATGTACGATGATGGAGCCGAGGACCAGGTTGGAGGAAACGAGGGAAGAGTGAACGGAGTAGTTTTTTTTTCTTGAGGCTTCTAAAATGCAGCTGACATCCAATAGACTATAATGTATCATGTAACTTGCAGCTCCCCCATTCTCTATTCGCAGTCTTGGTCTACTAGGTATGTAGTATGTATGTAGGTAGTTTATCAGCGATTCACCATCCCACTAGCTATCCCACCAGCCTGCCAGCTTAATTTTGCCTTTTCCAGCTATGTCGCATCTGCGCCCTATCTAAACCCTAGCAAGGGATGGGATGAAGGTTACCTAACTACATACGTGCATGGTAAACGAATATGGGTGGGCGGCTTTACTGGTTCCGGGCTAGCTACGCTTACGAGGGGGGGGATTGGGATATCGGTACTAGGTACTGTATGTACGCTGTAGGAATCATTCTTTCTTCAGAATGACAAGGGAAGGATTCCGACGATATGGTTTTGGGTAAAGGGTGAAACCTGATATATACTTATCTTCATCCTAAATCTGGGATAGCAAACACTGCGTTGGGTAACTTGACATCTCCGAGGAGATATCCGGGACCGACAATCTAGCTGAAGTCGGTTGGTACCGACGCAATCAGCGCTCGCGCCTCTACCCAGCGAGCTGGTTCCGTATTTTCCGAAAGGCGCCGTGGGTAGGGCAAAATATGTATGTATGTATGGTGGTTCGCTACGCGCGAAAGGATTCTGCGACTTAATATTTTTTTTTCTTTTTTCTTTCCTATCGGCGCCCACGCTGACGGCCACGCATAAATGATGAGAAGCAAGGGCCGGTATGTAAGATCCGAAGCCGGCATGTAAGGGCGGCAGTTTTTTTCTTATTTCTCACTCGCGACTAGGTATTAAGCAAGTAGATTAGCAAAGTTACCAAGGTAATGGACGGTACTGCACACGCGCGCGAAGGAGAAGGTGATAATTATCTGCAAGATCGATATTGGATGGCCGATCCAAATCGTGGAGGCGTTTCATGATCGGACACACATGACCTCAGCCCTAATGCGCGACCCCTTCGCCGCGCTTCTTAACTGCCCACGCGTACCTCATACATCGTACAGACGGCGGATACATCCACATTAGAGGCTTATTACATACCAACCTTCTCGAGCTTTCGGAGGCGGAAAATAAAGGGAGGTCAGACAACCGACGGGCGGGTTGCCGTATAAGGAAGATGTGCCAATGTGATATACTCGAATCAAGGCAATCAGGCGCGAGGTAGGCGTAAGCGTTTACCTGTTCTGACCTATTTCACGGCCTTGGTAAGCGAAAGTCCGCAAAATACTAGGTAATACACACAAGTGTTGGAGGGGAGAAAACGGTCACATTCTTATTTTCCATGGATGAAAGGTGTCAGTGAGATAAGCTCGTAAGACTTGGGATGACAAGATGAGCGAGCGAACGTACATACGAACCCATCGTGGGGTAAAGTGGGATTTGTTCAGATCGCGAAGAAAATAGGAGAATTTGGGTACCATCGAATAATAGAAAATAAATGACCCTACCACATAACACGATATTACTTGCCCTATATTAATAACCGATAGGGGCGCCCGGTGAAGGCATTTCGTACGGGAAGAAACGGGTAACAATTCTCTCTCGTATGATAGATGCATACATACACTATGCTGCTGACGGTCATAGCAACGGCCGGCAGAGACGAACGGCAATGGAATTACTACTGTTCGTAATCTTATCAGCTGCTAAGGTGGACGAGACCGCTGGACGAACGGGAGTTTGAGGGTATCACGGTCTAATGTACCTGGTTATTGGGAATGATATATCACAATTGATGTTGTAGAAAGCGCGAGAGTCTACGGTCTACGGACCGCATTACATTGCATTTGTTTTGCCAGAATAACTCGAAACGGAAGTTCAAGATGCGAGAGTGAAACGTTGGTTTGTTCTAGCCGCGTTTACTATTTCAGAGGGGCCATATGGCCCATATCTGTGTCTTCTATAACGCTTTGTAGGCAACTAGATGATGGACTGTAACGTTGAACCGGAGAGCCAAGACTTTTGACAGATTTCGGTACCAAGTTGAATGACCTAAATGCGACTTTCCAACAGGAATCCGGCTGGGTCATCTTTTCAACCGGTGAGATCCTGCAACCAAAAACCTCATTAGAGTATACGTAATGCCGTATCAGATGGAATTGTCAGGGGAATTGTCATAGCGATGAAATCCGACTATCTGACTGTATGGATGCCTATGTATGCACATTACATCCATACATACGCGCAGGTAACAGAACGAAGAGAATGCCGTATCTGGAAACATCGTTGGAATTACCGCCCCAATGTTACCGTTGATTTTGAATGGTTTTCATGATGATCATGTTAGAACTTAGAAGAGTTCGAGTCTTGGCAACGACGAAAACTCACACGAGGCTGGGCTGACTGAGCACATCCTCCGCCGCCGCGCCTCGTGGCTAGAGGCGTATTATTTGTCAACCTTGAACTGTCTTATCTCAGCGTGGCAATTCGGCGTGGCAGATGAAGAATGTAGTATGTAGTATGTAGGTATGTAGGTATGTATCAGTGTATGTACAAAGCATGTCTGAGAGTTTTTGAGACAGTTCCTTCTAGTGCGTTTCTCTAATGTACGTTGGTAAGACGCCGGCAATTCTTTTGAGACTATCGTAATGAGCCTGGAATCATCTTGTACAACGTATTTCACGATTCGAAGATCTGCCCCCGTTGCCGTCATCCGTATACGCCCTTGCATGACAATTTCTTCGGAGAAAAAAAAGGGGATCATGTGTTGGGGCCAGATTTTGAGCCTGCGAGATTCGAAAATTCTAATAGTGTGATAAGAGTTTTCCGATTTCCGTAGATCATGCCGGTTCCAAGACAAGTAACGTAGATGGATTGGCAGATTGGACATTCATGATCGATTGCGCGAAGGTTTCAACATTAATGCCTTACGCCGTCGTCCCAACGTCTTGGTCTCGGAGGGGCTCGAACAAAACAGACCCATGCAGCCATGGCATATCTAAAGAGACGGACTTCTCGCCGCTGGATATAACCAATCAACGATGACCCACGAGCCCACCCCTAAGGTAGCAGATTTCTCACCTTGGTGGATTAGGAAAAAGGCGGGGATCCTTGACGCACATGGACTACGGTGAAGCTCCTGACTTGGTATCGCCAACGATCACGTGAGTGGGATATGTAGGTGAATTGTGCCATAGCTTGGCTGCCAGGCTTGCTTGGGGGTAGGGGGAGAAGGATAGATTTTTTAAAAATGGACCCTGTCAGTTAATAACCGCAACGATCCTATTATAGCCATTATAGCCCACGGTGGGCCACTACCTCGGTAGCGTCGCAGATCACTTGCCAAGCTGATAATATTGATGCCCAATTGCATAGAGATATCATACACTAGATGAAATTTTATGTACGTCGTATAGAATTGCCTGGTTTGTAGGTGATGGCGAGTTTCTTTGGGCTTGATATCTTAAATGAGTTTGTTTTGGCTACATAACTTCTGCAGTTACGTGCCTTGCAGTAGCTCTATTTCTGCCTTGATATTGGTAGTATACTTGACAATAGAAAAGAAACCCTTGATACATAATACACGAAGATAAAAATGGAGATCCCTTTTGACAGGTGAGTGTACGTAACATTCTCGCAAGGGTCCGAAAGGTCTAGACGTGATCGACACAAAATCATGTGCCGTACGGTAATCAAAGCATTTCAAGGGACCTTTTTGTCTCGGGCTTACATCCCATCCAGGTATGGTTCCTACTAGGTCAAATTAAGGTCAACGATGTCATCGTGATGGGTGTGTCGGCGAGGGGGGGGGATGTACAATACTTATGTACATGCTCACGAGAAATATCCAAGACATCGTAGCAGCGTAGGCATATTGATCCACCGAGCTACATTGAAGCATCGGCATATCTTTTCCCGATTCATGCTAAACTCGCCGGTATTCCACGTTTAGTTGAGTCTAGTGTTTCCATCCGATGCATGTACATGTACAATCGAGATATTCTCCCATGAATGCCTACTAACCCTTATCCACAGATATCTACATGCTATCTACATACTACATAGTAGCATGCGTAGAGGGATGCTCGTAGGGATATCGCCCTTACCTACCTACTCACGTCATGATGATTCAAGATACCTGGGTATATATGTAAATATCAGCCTTGCCGTTAAGGCTCATGAATGGTTCAGGGACCAGTAGCCTTGCAGGCGCCCTGACGTTTCCTTTCGTCCGAAATACCGAAAGACATAGCCATAAAGATATACGACGTCTTGAAACCAAGAAAAGTTTGGCTGTAGAACCCTAAACATAGCTATATCCGGGCTCGTATGAAAGGTGATATTATTACACTACCTAGCACGTAAATAGCTGCCCAATATTGAAGTTCTTTTCCTCTACTTAGTTAAATACCATCCTTCGGCGGCGACCTTGTGGGGGCAGATCATGTCAGCCCCCACAGCTCTAGTTCTCTTTGATACAAGAGGTCCAAGAGATCCCAACTAGAAGCTTAAAGAATGCGGCTAGAATCACATGTTTTTGAGAAGCTAAGGTAGATCGGGCGAAATAGGGCTAGTGAAGCTCGAGTGTATCGACACCGTTGTTTCGGTTCCTCTGCTATGTGTTGAAATTCCTTGATTGGGGTCCCCTTGGACGGAGATTTGGCCCTGCGAGATTGCATAATAATGACCTGACTTTATGCGGATATCTGACGGTTAAGGGATGCACACTTTCACCCTCTTCGCCGGATCGAATGCGAGATTCGCAATTATGCTACACAGCTGGGTTTTTCCATTGGTCTTCCATCGGAAGGATTCGTCTTTACATTTACCTAATTGGCGTCGTCGAATTGCCGATGCACCTCTATGCACTGCACCGTAAATGGGTTGTACGCAGCCGTAGACTTGACTGATAGTCACAGAACCCCATGGGGTTACGCATCACGAGTGATTGGACCTGCAAGGATGAGAAGGTGTGAGAGGAAATCAGTCTTGCTAAGTATGGTAGTCTTTTGAGCCGCAACGATTGAAAATCCGGTAAGACTAGATGAGTACGTGGTATTAACGTGGTTACCCAGCTAGTTGCCCAGCTACCCAGCTGTCTACCTAGTAATAGGTACCCAATGTATGTAGGTACAGTACCTACACATAGCTAGTTAGTGACAAGCTTGAAGATTTGCAAGGCTAGCTGGGTTAGCTCTTGATATCTGCTTGAAGGGTTTCAATGCCCAAATGTCTCGTCTGGGAAAAAAAAAATCTACTATGTATGTCTGAGCCACTGAAGGGATCGAAGCGAATCGGTCCATGTTCTTTCTCTGAGACTATAACGAGATCATCGAGATAGTTCGTCCACAAAACCAGGTTGGATGCGGCGGCGCAGTTCGAAGTTTGAAACCACTGAGAAGCTTGATCTCTCCATGTCCGTGACTCTGGGACTCGATCGTAAACCCCATTGGGCGCCACTAGAGAGGGAGAGCTGAATGTCGAATGTCCGTCCGCTCGCTTACCGCGGACTCGCTGCCATACTGGGTAATGCGTAAGGTCGCTCAACAAAATCCCATCCCTAAGGATTTTCAGATTTGCAAGCTCTAAATTCCAGGAGGTAGGTAAATCTGGGAAAGACGTAACTCTCGTTTAACCCTTAATTCGCGCAGATATCGGTCTTGCTCGGTTGACGTGAGCAAATAGGTTCGTGCATAGTACGCATAGCACGCATAGTAGAGCATTTACTGCGTACTATGTAATGCGTACCATGTCTTAGGAGTGAAGATTAAGGTTGATTATATTTAGAAGGATTTGCGTAAGTATTTAAGAGTATCACAGGGTTCCATATTTTGAACCCGACCGGGACTGGGACCTTGGAGAGGCTTGGGGGGCTTGGAGTGCGGGTTCAAGACTCCGTATGAACCCGCCAGCTGCAGAACAGTACGTCAGTGCGGCTCGACCGTGCTTAACCGAGAAGGACTATTCTGGACTATGTATTCTGTATGTAGGAGAATAAGACTAGCGCAGCGACGGAGGCTTTCGTGATGTTCAGCTCTTCCAGAATTCATCGATTTTTCTTTGATCTTTTTCAAGCATGAGATCCAAAGCGGGCGAAATATTGCTTACGACAGGAAGCTATTGAAGTGGCCTGACTCTGGCGCACGTGGCTTTATAGCAAATTGACTGAACCCGCAGCTGTTCCCACGCTGCCACGCTTAGCACTGGCTTATATACCCGCGCCTAAGCCAGAAATATTCTAGACTTTAGCACTAAAAACTTCAGCTACGTAAGGGTATCTACTGGTAGATATACGAAATGAAGTATTTGTTTACAGGCAGAAACTTGGCAAAATACATCTTCCATTCATAGTAGTCACATGTACTAGCACATCATGTTACTTCAGCAATATACACCATAGAAGCAGATAGGCAGGTGTGTAGGTAGTGTAGGTATAGGAAAGGTACAGTACCTACCTACATTTTCTTTCTCGCTTCTCGGTTTACGGCTCT